CCACTCAAGGGTTCCCAACAAAGTTTGGTGTCGGTGTCAGAAACAAAAAAGTCCGGGGGAGCTGTCAAGATACTGTTGCCTCCGTTTCGGTAGCATCCCCAAAACAACATCATGACTCTTGGGTATGAGTCTTGGCCTGGGATTGCTTCGTCTTGAACCTGCACAGTGAGCGCCAAAAACCGTTGAAAGCCTCACTGTGCATGAAGTCAGCAGAACCCACTCACATCCTCTGTTGGGCTTTTCGAGGATGTGAGGACAGCGGCTCCCCCTCCGAAAAGGGCCCATGCTGAAGGGATACCTTTGGGGCGGGTTGAGTCTTCTTGGAGGGTGGTTTAAAAGGAGCCTCGAAATTTTAGAAGCAAACACATGGCGACTTTTCATCCGCACTTCCCGTGAAATCGCCCGAAGCATCACAAAAAGACGCCCGCCCACCGGGCTTCCTGGCGGCCGGCGCAGGCACCGCAGGGAGCCGGAAAAAAGCTGCGGTGTGTGTTTCGGCTGATGGGGTCCCCTGCTCGCAAAATAGGGGTTCGCAAAATGGCCGCAGAGTAGGGGCTCTCAGGTCCCGAAAATTTGGCTGTCCTCAAAGTAGAAGTCCCCTGTGGCAAGAGGAAACCAAAGGGAAGCCACCTACCTGGAACTCGTGCCTAGCAACTTTTGAGAACCCATATGGAATATGGAATCACAGGCAAAGGATTCCAAAAGCGCCATCCGATGTCGGCTTCATTACTCGCGGGGAATCCATGGCTTCACCAGGCAACCCTCCAGTCCACTCATGGAAGCAGAGAGGCCCTTGTAGCACGCGATGGTCCAAGCTCATTCGGTTGTGACTATGATTTCCCTTGGGAACTAATAGTTGTCATCTAAAATCCCTGGCTCATCCCTACCCAAGGGAATAAATCCGTGAGGTGCGTGGAAACAGCTCAAAACGGTCGGTGTCCTGTTTCTTTCCCTTTCAACGTCCAAGGGGGTACGCCTATTTTCAGATGACATCAAGAATGAGTGAGTCCCGCATGTGCGAGGCACCATAGACAAATGGGTGTCTTTTTCAGGGCACCTTTTTGGAAGGAAAACCACCAATTTGCGGGGGGAGCCTTGGAGGTTCCTCCACGCCCAACGGTCTGCAGGCGGAGGTAGGACACCTGAGCTCGCTCAAACGCGAGCAAAATGGCGGAGGGTCTTGGTGGTGTTGCAAGGGAAGGCAAAGGGAAACATTTTCCGGGCACCCCAAAAAGCCCATGTAGACCGGGTGGGGGGACCCCCAGAAGACAAACCTGAATGGGGAATCCGTTTTTGGAATGGTTGCTGACAGGTGGACGGAGGGCAAATCATCAAGTTGGACGCCGGGTTTAGACCGAGACAGGCGGGAAGTGTGGGCTGTCTGTCGTAAGGGTCACAAGCCTCCCATAGAAACATGAGGTTGATTGACAGACAAATCACCAGAATCGAAATCTCTGCCATCTGCCCGAACAGCCCGCGAAGGGAGACAAACTGGGCAACCGCAGCTCCAACTGGGCAACCTTGGAGATCCAAACGGGAAAATCCTGCATAACATGGCAACCCCAAAAAAATAGTATCGTCGATCTTTAGAGGGATTTCCTGGGGAAAGGACTCCCTGTGGTTCTGCGCAAATGTACAAAGGAAGAAAAAAATGGAACACCGTGCGCCTTGGGACAACTGGCTTAATTGAGAGCCAAAACCCGCGGATCGCTCTCCCTGTTGGGTGCCGCACGCCGTTCACCACAACAGTCTTCGAAATGCCAGTTCCTGCGCACGGCAAGCTATGGATGGATCGAATTCATCTGTACCGTTAAAAACCACCCCTACGGGAGATGCTCTAAATATTCCAAGTTTGGGAACAAGGAACCAGGAACCCCGGTTGACCGCAATTTACCATGGTTCTAATGGTTCTGTGGCTGCGTGTGGCTGGATTCACTTGCATCCACCATACCCAACACCTCCCCCCCCCCGACTCAGTTCAATCCAGCCCATGGACCCGGATGTCGTTGGCTGTACCTAAACTGGGATCCCACAGGGACCTGTCGGTTGCCATGGAACCCACTGGAGATCTCAAAGGAAGATCCTCCAAACCAAGCAATTCCCCCAAGCGTCAGGTGCTAACGGGGAGAGGTACTGTAGGAATCGATCCAAGGGGATCCTTCACTTGGGGACGTCGCACCCCGTCGATCTGAATGGATTTTGGTTCGCCGGAAAGTCTCAACATTCAGTGGCTTCTGTGAGAACAAGAAATGGAAAGCAGAGGGCGGAGTCAACGTTTGCACAATGATAGGGATTCGGCTTCATGAAAACCTGAGCGGAGGGATTTGCCAAGTGTCAACCCTAGTTGCAAGGCAACAGATGGCCTAGTTGAGGCTACTGACCGCCAAGCTACCTGGAACGTCTGCAAATGACCTTCCATCTGTCTCCGATTCAATTGAGAACTTGTTTGGCCCCTGACGCAACTGAGATTCCCTAGCAAGCCAAACATAAAGCTCCAGAAGCATTACAAAGTCAGATTCACATGCGGAGGAGTCTCCTTTTGGGGGTCCATGTTTTTTCTTTTGTGGCCTTCTTAGGCGCTATCACAGGATTGTCTCTTTTTAGGATTTGGACCCCGAAAATGGCGCAACGGCTTTCCTTTTCGTCTCCCAAAAAAATAGAAATCGGCTACCCACAAGGCTTCTGATTGAACCTTTTTCTGGCGGGGAAACTGCTATGCTCCAAAAGAAACACCGACTCAGTCAAATCGCTCCGAACTCGATTCAACGGGTCTCCTTGCATAGCATCCACATAGGGCGCCGAAGGCGCCTCAACCGTGAATCAGTCTGGGTCTACATGTCCAACCCAACAACATGGGTGGCTGAAAAATCAAGAGCTGCAAACCGCAGGATCTTGTCTTTCCATTTGCCATGGTGCCATGTTGGTCTCCATGTTGTTGAGCCACAGCCACATCACACCAAAAGGAAACTCGCTGATAAAATGGCCCCAAAGATGATGTGCAAACCGTCCCAGATGGAAGAATGTACCGGAACCCTGTTACCACTTGAGCCACCGTCAACTTCCGGGCCCTGATGACATGCAATTGTGGCAAGTAAGATCTACAGTAACTGTCCCAGAAACCCAGAAAAGCAGCCCCTGGCTTTCTGCTCATTGGCTGATCAACCGCTGGCCATGGCTCAATTGTGCGAAACGAGGCACCCAAAAGGGCCCCAAACGGTCATGAATTCATATTATGGGTGTGTCTTTTTTAGGGGACCCCACAAAATTTGTGGTTGCGCATAGCAACAAGGTGTATTCAAACACTCACACTACAAAACAGCAAAGAGGACCGTCGAGCTACTTCAAAGCTGCTGATTCTGCTTTGAACAACCCATATGTCAATCTATACAATCAGCCGCTCGAAACACCAACCAGAAAGTTGTCCCACACTTCAGGGAGTCGCCAACATCTTGCCATCGCTGAACGCTAAGCGGACACCAAGACTAAACCGACGTGATTCGGCTCTCTTCATTCCTGAGGCCCTGACAACGCAAATGGGTGTTTCTTAAAGGGACCCCTTTTAGCTTACTTTTTTCAGGAACCAAAAAAAGAAACACCACCATTCAGGGTCCCGGGTCCCCTGTTGCCGCATGCCCAAGTGTGTCGCGCATGTCGCGCATCTCACCAAGCTGAGAATTTCATGGGTCAAAACGTCCCTCTGGCCATCATGGTTCCCATACGAGTCTGTCTACTTTTTAGGAACCTCTTTCTGGAGGGGTTTTCAAGGGAAACACTAAAAAAAAACATTGATAGGGGGGTCCCCTATTTTAAGACCCACTCATATGAATCCTGCCGCTTCAAAATCCGAAGGCTCACCAGTAGCAAACCACAAGTAACAGCTGGTCTTTTAAAGGCAAAGTGACCCGCTGATATCTCAGGCCCACTCTGCGCGAGTCTCGGAGAAGTCCTGAGATCCGATGCATCGGAGGCATGTTGAAACAGGGCACCTGGAAACGGGGTCCAAAAACCAATAAAAATCACCGAATTTTCTAGGTTGTTACCTTAAGGGGGATTCCCTAAAATCACAAAAATTGCCCACATGTCCGACATACGACACAATCGCATTGGGAAAGTTCGCAACTTCGAACTGGGGCCCCTGCGGAGGCATCGGCACCTGCAAACTCGGACCCGGCTCAAAGAAAACCAAAGGGAAGCCATGCGCACTTGTCTCGAAATGACTTGGGACCCTCAAAATTGGTGGTTTGTTTTCCTTTCGGTTCCATGTCGCCGCTCACAAACACAACACCCGGCAATGCTCTCACAAGCGACTGGTACGGTTTTGAACCAAGTCCCCATGGCCCTAATCAAAAAGTACAACTTACGTAATCTCGAGTTCAGGGCTTCAAAACCAGCAACAAGGGGGTACCAACTCGAAAAAGCAAAAGACGACACACGGTTTTTTGGTTTGTTTTGGCCGTGGAGTTCTTCGCCGCCTCGCGGCTCAGCGGAGCGGTCTTCGGGAATGGGGGACAGGTCCACGGTAGAGACCTCGGATGGATTGGTGACAGGGAGGGAGGGAGGGAGAGGGAGGGAGGAGGGAGGGAGGAGGGAGGGAGGAGGGAGGGAGGAGGGAGGGAGGAGGGAGGGAGGAGGGAGGGAGGAGGGAGGGAGGAGGGAGGAGGGAGGGAGGAGGGAGGGAGGGGGGCAGCGGAGAGAGAGAATGGGACAATGGGAAAAAAATAACATTACAAAAAATATGATACAGAACAAGAAGAAAGAGAACCAATGAGAGAGACAAAGAGACGGAAAAACAGAAAGAAAGAAAGAAAGAAAGAAAGAAAGAAAGAAAGAAAGAAAGAAAGAAAGAAAGAAAGAAAGAAAGAAAGAAAGAAACAAAGAAAGAAAGAAAGAAAGAAAGAAAGAAAGAAAGAAAGAAAGAAAGAAAGAAACTAGACCACGGTTGGCCCGAAAGCAGAACATCGCAAGCGAGGTCGGCCCAACGCTGCAGGATGCGTTCTTTTTCCCTACACGAAGCATTCGTGAAGCAAGCGCGAGACAGCACCAGGCAAGGTGCTCTGTGCAAGTTGCTCTGTGCAAGTTGCTCTGCGTAAGTTGCTCTGCGCAAGTTGCTCTGCGCAAGTTGCTCTAGGCAAGGCGCTCTGCGCAAACTGGTCGGTGCAAGTTGGTCTGCGCAAGTTGCTCTGTGCAACTTGCTCTGCGCAAGTTGCTCTGCGCAAGTTGCTTTAAAATGCAAGTTGCATCTTGCGACGCCCGCCCGCGGACCAGGGAGGAATCGAACCCGCGACCCGCCGGTTCCGGGAGCAGGCGCGCGAACCACGAGACAACTCCCGAGGACCAGTTCGAACAACAAAAGTCGCAAAAAACCTCGAGTTTTTGCACCTCGACCACGCCGATCCCCGCAGAGGGTCGCGCGGGGCATGTTGGAAATCGCAAAAAAAAACATGGGTTTTTGCACCTCGACCACGCCGATCCCCGCAGAGGGTCGCGCGAGCACAGAAATCGCAAAAAACCATGGGTTTTTGCACCTCGACCACGCCGATCCCCGCAGAGGGTCGCGCGAGCAGGTTAGAAATCGCAAAAAACCATGGGTTTTTGCACCTCGACCACGCCGATCCCCGCAGAGGGTCGATTTTCGTGTAGTGTCGTCGGCACTACCCCGCCGCCCTAAGAAGAGATTTTAACTCCTCGCAAGTCAATTGCACTTGACTCCTTGCACTTGCAACTTGCACTTGACTCCTTGCTTGTTTCAAGGAGTCATTGCAAAGTCATTGCAAGGAGTCATTGCAAGGAGTCATTGCAAGGACGTCGCATCATTGCAAGGAGTCATTGCAAGGAGTCATTGCAAGGAGTCATTGCAAGGAGTCATGAGAGCCATTGCAAAGGAGCCAAGTGCATGGAAGTCAAGTGCAAGTTGCAAGTGCATGGAGTCAAGTTTGCAAGTGCAAGGAGTCAAGTGCAAGTTGCAAGTGCAAGGAGTCAAGTGCAAGTTGCAATCCTTGCCATGACTCCTTGCAATGACTCCTTGCAATGACTCCTTGCAATGACTCCTTGCAATGACTCCTTGCAATGACTCCTTGCAATGACTCCTTGCCATGAATGACTCCTTGCAATGACTCCTTGCAATGACTCCTTGCAATGACTCCTTGCAATGACTCCTTGCAATGACTTTCATGATCCTTGCAATGACTCCTTGCAATGACTCCTTGCAATGACTTTCATGATGCTGATTCCTTGCAATGACACCTTGTAATGACTCTCATGAGAACAACTCAAATGAACCCAGCGGAAGAACCCTTCGCCATGCTTTCGGGAAAAAAGAACGAAAGACAGACAAACAGAAAGAAAGAAAGAAAGAAAGAAATAAAGAAAGAAAGAAGAAAACAAAGGAAGGAAGGAAGGAAGGAAGGAAGGAAGGAAGGAAGGAAGGAAGGAAGGAAGGAAGCCAGGAAGGAAGGAAGGAAGGAAGCCAGGAAGGAAGGAAGGAATGAAGGAATGAAGGAATGAAGCAAAGAAAGGAAAGAAACGAGGACGGAAAGCATGGAACATGGTACGTCACACGCTGGAGCCTGCAGTTTTAACAGGGCTGCATGACTAGCTGCTCCACTTGAACAGGAGCTTGCAAAAAGAAGAAGAGTTCCAACCCCAATCTACTTGGCGGACATGTTCAATCCTTGATGCATCCCTAATTAAAATGTGAACCACTTGAGAGCGTTATTGCTCGGGATGCAGAAACGCAAAGAGAGAGGAAGAGATGCCTAGAAAACCATCCTTCAGGTCCATTTCAGCTTTGCAAAATAACCGAACAAGTGATCCCAAAAAAAACAACGAAGAACGGACAGGGGGTTGAAGCAGATACCAGCTCCTGCAAAGCTGGCTGCTTCCCCTTAGGTTTTCCACAGAACAAGTCCTCGATTTACAAGATCGGAAGCCTCGTCGGCCGCCAACTTTGTGCTCAAGGATGTGCAGCTGCAAGCTCAATTTTCTTGTTCTTCATGAGGATCGGGGACCGGGGTCGGACGGCGCCACAGAAAGCGACATGGTTCTCCAAGATGCAGCTTTGCAGCCGCACGAGAATTGGTGGCACGTCGCAAGTCAAGATCCAGAGGTCACTGTGGGCTGCATTGCATTCTTTCGTGGTAGCAATGCGCTGCAATGAACGACAGCTCCGCTCCGCATCGTTGAGAACCTGATTGGGGATCCGGGGGCCACATCCCCAACCTTGTGCTCAAAGATGCACAGCCGCGGTACTGATTTCCATCCCCATCAATGTGTCACAAAGCGGGCTCCTTTGCCGGCTTGCCGCGGCAAAGCCAATCTGTATCCGTTTTGGTCGGCCTTCTCGGGACGCGAAGCCGAAAATGATCCCCAAATTGTTGAAAGGAAAACTCGGCAGGGTCGATGCAAAGCCCTCCTCCTTACCATAACGCAAATGTCCGTTTCGTTTTCCCATGGTTTGGAGAATTCAAGCGGAATGCACCACCTCCAGGGTGACGCTTGTCAGCCGCAAGTCCAAGAAACCATGTCCCCCGTTTCCTTGGTGGAGAGAACCAGTGGCACCCTTCGACCCTTCGCCCAGCGGCTCGGGGGAACTGACTCCTCGTCGTCTCCCTCTCAGCCAGGACGGGCTCCGGGCGATCCACCTGTGAAGCAGGCGAGAAGGCCCTTTGTGTGTGTCCCATCCCTACGGCTACTTTCATGTTCAAGCGGACTCCATATTGCCATATTGGCAACACCGACTATTTTACACCCAAGCGAGGCTCCATGCCCCTCTGCCCCTCCCTCCTCGCCTTGGGAGGCAGGGCTTCCTGCTTTGGCAGCTGCTCTGGTGCCCTCTCCTCCTGGAAAAAAAAACTCCGAAAGACATCCTCAAAGCAGGGCTCGCCACATGGGCTTCTCCCAAACTAGGGGGGAAAAAACACCCAAAAAGGGCGGGGTTTCCTGTTGACCCAAAAAAGGTGGCTTCCTTTTGGTTGCTGATGTGACGGCTTTTTTGTTACAACCGTCCCTCCTCTCCAAAGGCAAAAAAAATTGGGCCACGGGTCCACCCGCGGCCCACGGAGCGGCCGTCCTTCTCGGCGAAGGCCGAGGCGGCCACCTGCGCGATCACCTCCTCCAGCTTCGTGGTGTCGCAGCAGCTGTAGCTCAAGTTCCTTCGAGTTTGGGTCAAAAATGGGAATGTTTGTACCCCAAATGGCTTGCCCGAGAAAGTGGAAGCAAGGAATAAAACCTGTGGTCCAATTCCTGGTTTCCATTTTGACCCGTACCCATTTGGCTTCGGGGCATCGGACGGGCCACCGGGAGCGAATAACACATCCCGGAGAACAAACATCTGGTGCCTCGATCAGAGACATGGAGCCCAACATGGCACCTTGGTAAATGGAACCCAAGAAGAAAACCTGCGTTTTTTGTTGCCCGAGCTCTTGAGTTGAGCACCCGAAGACAGTGACCCAAATTGGTTCACCCGTGAAAGCTGCGGGTTAAAGACAAACAACCCACTTGGATTACCCCCCAAAAAAAAGAGAAAAAATATTGAGAACCCCCGTCCAAGAGCTCCTCAATGCGGGAATGCCAAAGTCTTTCTTGGGTGTCCGCGAATTGGGGCTGCCTTTTGAATGGCCCCTTCTTGCGATTCTTAGAGACTCTAGGACAGTGGTGGACCTTGTCCATTTTTGCTCTGGTGTTGTGCCCTACGCTACACCTGCGCAAAGTAGATACCAATCCTTTCATATGGATCAGTAAGATGACTAAACCAAACTGGGGGGGAGGCATCGTGCCATCTACGTTCACCCAATGGTATTCTCGCACTGGGGGAGCAAGTCCGAAACCGAAAAGCCATTCCCGTCTTCCAGCCTTGGCCGCAGGGGAGTGAAGGAACATCTGCTGGGCTCGCTCGCCTCGCGAGACCAAAAAACCCACTTGGCGAATCCCCGCCCAATGGGCGTTCTTTTGGGAGTCGGTATGGTTTGTTTGTAGCTCTAGAGGGAAATCAAAGGGAAAAAAAGACTGTTGGGGAGTCCACCGAAAAAAGACACACCAATATAGTGCGAAAGATAAATGACCACTAATGGCCATCCTTGTTTGATGGCACCACCGCCAAAGGATCTTGTTGGGAACACTTGCCGGTGGCCCCGCCCCCCCTCTCCCCCGGCTCAGAGAGATCTCCAGGTTAGCGTCAGGTTGTCAAAGAAGGGTCTGGTTTGCAAATGATTTCAATTGGGGTGCTGTATCTTTGGGCCTCCCCATTGAAGGATGACGGAGGAAGCAAGGAGTCAGTTTACCATCAAAAAGCCTCGCCGTCCTCTAAAAACCCCTCAAACCCCAAACCCAAACGAAGTATCCACAATAGACAACCAAAGGGAACCAAGCCCCCTCCCCCCCAACCCAAACGACCCCCCAGTTCCCATCCCAGTTCCAATCTCCCATCCCAGTTCCCATCTCCCATCTCAGTTCCCACCCAGCTCCAACCCACTCCATAACGGACCTCTGTCCTACGACCCCTCCTGCCCTCCCCCTCCTCCCCTCCTCCCCTCCCCCCCGCCCGCCCCCCGCACTCCTCAAACCGCCTTCCCCAGCTCCCGCCTTCTCGCGCTCCCCGGCACCCCGCGGCGGGCTGCCGTCCAGCGGCAGCGAGGCCACCGAGTCTCGGCTCAGCGCCAGCAGCGCCTGCTGCAGACGCGGATCCTCCTGACTTGGTTAATTCATTTTTTTAGCGGCTAAGTGGGGATTTCCCACTAAACCACAATAAGCAAAATGCAAAATGTTTCCCAACAACAACCATGCTGAAGGAAAATACGGGGTGGCTCGTCTTTCGTTGGAGTTCCCCCGTTTCCCGTGTTTGTGTGTTTGTGAAACCGGAAAACCGAAAGGAAGCTCGTCTCAAGGGTGCCCTCGGAAAAGAAACACCCAAAAGGCCCCCAAATGTGGGGTGTAAAGGCGGTACCGTATACCCCCTGTCCAACAATCATGACAGGAGGAGTTGTCGATGTTCAGAGTTGTTGGAAGGAAGTCGTAAGCTCTTCGATTGCTATTGTGAATAAAAGGCTTGGGGTCATCGATGGGTATGTGACAAAATAAGTGGAACCCATAATGAGCGGGTTCCTTTCGGTCACCAACCAACCAACCTCAAAAGGGGCACCCTCAAAAACGAGGCGCACTCATATTACGTATTAATCACTCGAAATTGAACATGGCTCCAACAGGAATCCAAAACCACCGAAAAGCATTTAACATTCCCCTAAGGCCTTCAAAAAAACACAACAATACTCCAGAATGGGCTGTCTTCATCATGACAGGGAGCGCTGTCTGCGGTCATTAAGAACGCGAAGCAAAGGGGAACACAGCTCTCACAGTTTTCAAAGTTCACCCATGCACAGAACACTGTTGGCAAAGGGCCCTGATTGCACTTTACATTGTCCCCAAATCTTGATCTGTGGAAGCGTGTCCCTGGCTTTGGTGGGGGTTCATCACTCTTTGGAGCGGAGCACCCCATGTAGCGGGGGTTCATCATATCCGTGCTCAACATGTTCTTTTCCTTAAGCCGCGCTTGCCCTGAACCCGGCAGCCACCCTTGCTCCTGGCGGATGCCATAGAAGGCCAGGAAGCTGTTGAAGGTGCGGGCTTCCTGCGACCGGGCAGAAGGGCCATTTTGGAAATGGCGAGCGGGAAGGCATGGTCCACTAGGATCTATTTGGGGCTGTCTTTTTCACACTTGAAGATTACAGGAAAACCAAATGGAAAACCACCAACAAAAACTACATCCTTTTTGGGGCTCCTGGGTGCCAGAAAATCTGCAGATGTTGAACTAACAAGTGATGATGTTGTTTGTTGTTTGAACCAACCCTCCACTTTCTGGCCCCGCCGAGCAGTTGACTCGTCCGGGGGTTTCTGCGTTTGGCATGTGTGCTCACCAGAATTTGGTCTGCCGCTTTCTCCCAAAGGTGCGGAGTAAGGCATTCTAAAACCCCTGCCCCTGGAGGTTTCCATCTTCTCCCTGCCTGTTCATCGGACCGGATCAATTGAATGTCTCATCCTGCGCTGTTTCTAAAACCCCTGCCCCTGGAGGTTTCCATCTTCTCCCTGCCTGTTCATCGGACCGGATCAATTGAATGTCTCATCCTGCGCTGTCCGGATTCCAGAGCCACTTGCCATTAATTGTCAATGCCGGATGTGCAAAACACGGTTTTCCTGGCACGTATACCAATCTGCCGTCCAAAACGTCGCACATCACATGCCATTCCCTTTTGACACATCTTTCACGTTTAATGTATGCCACATTTGCGATGATGTTTGTGTGTGTGTGCGGCTGTGCTGTCCTAAGTTGCTTGGAGCGGTCACAGCTTCAAACCCAAAAAGCCGGGGTTCCAGTTTTTATTAATTGTTCGAGGAGGACTCGAGCGCTCAGTTCGTGGGGAAACTAGGCCTTGCCTTTGCACCCTTCTTTCTTATAAACTACCTTGGCTAAACACTGGTTCTAGAGTTTCCCCGATGCAGTTTTTCATGAATTGGCGCAAAGTGTGGTTCGGCATCTCGAGCTGCTGCGGGCATGCCACACGGGGCCCGACAGCAGTGAAGGTGCCGAGGACTTTTTGTGCCAAGCGCGCAGTATGGAGGCAGACCCTTGCTGCAGATGCAGACGCCCTGCGCCGCCACTGCGGCTTGGCCCCCCCCCCCAAAAGGGGGGGGGAGCCCCGGCTTTAATCAAGTGTACCTTCTTCTTCTTCTTCTTCGCGGCTCCAGAGGGTCCTTGTGGAAACGGATGCACCGAGTCCACATCGCCTCAAAAAGAAAGGCAAACAACGACAAACACCAAAGCAAAACCGGCCACCAAAAACGACCTGACCCAGACAAAACCTGGCTGGTCAGGTGGCTCACTCGCCGTCCCTCTGCGCTTCAACGTCTAGAGCATCAAAACCCCAACCCGGCGATCCAGTCCTGCAGGTCGACATGGCACAGGACCAGCAGTCTCTTCACACAGAGCCTTCCGCCACAGCATCCACGGAAAAGAAAGGCGGCTTCGAACGCAATTTGGGTGGTCTGCTGGGAGAGTTTGCCAAAAAGCCCAAAAGCCAAAACAAAACTAGAAGCCATCATCTTACGACCATAAATGGATTGGTGTGCAGGGTTGTTCAAGCATATGGGTGTGTCTCAAGATGAGGGATTGTTTTTCGCGCGTGGCTGGTTTCCTTGTGCCTTCCCTTCAAAAAAACAACGCCCACACAAGGGCTCCCTGCATTGGGCCAGACCTATAGCACTTAGGGGCCCACGGGATGCGTACCTTGCTATGGGTGGTTGCAGGTGTGTAATGTGCGTATGAGGTGATCGAGGAATATCAGGCAAGATATGAGAAGAGCCAGAAAACCTTGCGAGCCCATGCGCTCCCGAGACGTTGCCTCCTCTGACACAAGGATTGCAAACACACAATGTCACTCTGAGCATATCCAAGTACTTCCAACGGAGCGTGCCAGCGATGAAAAAAGCGTTAAAGCCTCAGGCCGCCGCAGGCCCACTTCTGCAAATCAACATGGAATCCCCCGAAAAGAAGCGTACTTTTGCCGGTTTCGTTGGTTCTTCATGTTCAGGAGAGCAACCTAAACGGAATCCCCAACCCAATTGCTGGGCCCAAATCAACCTCCCCCTGGGTTGCAGATTTGTCTGGGCCCTCCCACTCTCCGTACTCCTCTGGAGCCGTTTGAAGTGGAAGAGGCCCGATGGCATTCATGGCCACGGCATAGACATCACCTCGGAGGAATCACGGCATGGGAGATGACTCGTCATATCAGGCTACCCCTAATTGGTGGCTTGGATGGGTGGCTTAGGATTTGACCCTTGGTTTGGTTCAGAGATAAGGAAACCGGACCCAACCTCCAACCACCAACTAGAGAGAAGCTGGTCATTGCCACCTCCAACCAGAGAGATAAAAGAGACGGGGCAAAAGGGCATTGCTAGGACCAGGTTCAGAAACTGTCCGTTGGCCCCTGTCCTTCCCTTTTGGCCGGCTCGACCACCTCACCGCTACGGCCCATGTGTGGTTGTCCTTTATTGGTGATCGCATGTTTGTTTTTGCGGTTTGAAAGGGACGTGTCAAAAACAAAAACAAAAAAAACATCGTGGCTTAGGTCCGGGAAAAGAAAACAAGATACCCAGCAACTACTCCAAACACTCCAAAGCTGCTTGGAGCTAGGCTGATGCGAATTCTGCTGCTGCTGAGGAGAGAAATTCAGGGGTCTTGGACATGAATCGTTCGGGATCCGTTCCCGTAGAAAGAAACCACTAGGGGATGGTTCAGGTTGTAGCCATTTCCTCGCTTTCCGGAGTCACACAAAGTGTTTAACAGCATTAAAGCATGTTCATATCATGTCTAAAACCTGTCGCACATGCCATGTCCAAGTCGAGTTGCCAGATACCCAATAACCAAGCCGCGGCTAAGGGAGTGTATCTCAAAATGGCGCCCCTCCGCTTTTGGGTTGGTATTCAAAGGGGAAACCAAAACAAAACCAACCATCCGAGGCTTAACTTCTGATGGATTTCCCCACCCGTCTTGGGACCCCGCTTCAACCCAACAAGTCGTCGACACCGGGGGTCCCCGGCCAAGATCCTTCTTGTTGGGCCACGGCAGCCGCTCTGCGTCGCCCACGACTCGCAGAATCTGCCGGACATCACCTGGCAGTCTCATCACGTGATGCCCGGGTGTTGGCTTCCCATTGAAGCCGGAGGTGACCGCACAGGAGGCATATAAAGCCCAACCAAGAAAAAAATGGGCGGTTTCCTGTTGAGCCATGTCCCAGACATGTCATGACCTGCTGTGCTTCTGGCCGGCTTACGCCAGCTCTTGGACGCTGCTCTTTTGGCTTCCCATTAAAACCGACACGGGAGGCATGTAAAAACCCCAAATCCAAGCCCTGTGGATGGAGTTGCCAAGTTGGGGGAGTCACTCACATGGACATCCGAGTGAATCGCCTATCAGGTGGGGCTGACTGTCCATCTGTCTTTTGTTGAGGCTCAACGCCATGTTGGGGTTGCTTTACAAAGGGAAACCAAAAGGAAACCACCACTCTTGGGGTCCACTATCTTAAGGCACGCTCATCCGGGCACATTTGCCGGGTGAGTTGATACGCGTTGCACAGGGCAAATGATTCTGTTTCATCGCAACTTGAAGACCGGGCTGCAGACGTTGCGTGCACCGAGTGTTGGTGAGTCCACAAAACAATGACGTCTGCCTGCCGCTTGACGGAGACTCCGCTTGATCGAGCTTCTGCTCGTCATTGGCACCTGCAAGTTGCGCTTCCATGCCAAGATCCCAGCAAAGATGTGGGTGTCTCTCGAAATAGGGAACACAAAATGTTCTTTGTGGCTTGCTTTTGGCTGTCCAAACACAAACCAAGCAAAGCGTGGTTCCAGCTTTTGACAAAGACAAACCCATGTCTTTCAGCAGCACTGTGGAGGTCCAACACAAATACATAAGCGCCGTTGCCAAATCTCCTTGGGTCAGGGTCTGTGGTTCCTGTATAACTGCATAACCTTTACATCGGTTCGCCAACTCGATTGAGGGGCCTTTTGGGTTTCTCCAAGTTGGTTTTCGACCCCTCCAGGCTGTTTGTTGATCTCCTCTGGGTGTCCCTTTGGCCTCGGAAAACATGGAAAACAATTGGTCCTCTTGGTCTCCTCTTGGTGCTTCGTTCACGACGCTCCGGCCTCCACGCGAAAGTCCCGATTCATCACATGCGTGTGGTTGAAGAAGTCACGCCTATGATTTGTATTCAGCGTGGGCTGGTATTCACGTGAGAGTCTGTTTCAAAAGACTCTTTGTCCGGTGCCAGGTTTGCTTCTTGTTTTCCATTTGCCATGTGGGCAGGACGGCAATGCTGCAAGCCAAAGATGCGCCCGAGCGGGTTTATAGTTGGTGGATGGTCATGCCCGGGTGCCTGCGCATGCGCAGAATGCGCTCTGCATATGCGAGCGGCCGGCAAACCGCATCCACCCGCGTGTCAACCCATGAGAGATCTCCATACTCCCCCTGCAAATTAACATGGGTTGACCAAAAGGGGCGCCGCACGGAAGAAGATTCCTCTCAAAAAAAGTACTCTGCACGGTTTCTTGGTTAAGCGGCTTTGTTAATCTTCACCCAGGCTTTTTCTGTACTGCGGCCCAGTTGGGAAACAACTCACCCACAACAATAAGCATGGGGCCTGTGGCAAAACAACACGAAAACCAAGGCAAGGCGAGACAACCTATTGATTGAACCTACAAACATATCTCGGCAGAAGCAGCCCAGAGCTTTTTCCTCAACCGCGCAATCCTGCGCTTGGCGATACGCCTGTAGAGCTATGCGGAAGCAACCCTTGTCAGGCGGCAGCTGCCTGAAAGCGGCCGGCGCAACAAAAAGAACGAGGCAAAGAACTCCAGGAAAAAGACATGGGTTTCCCGTAAAATTGTGCAGCCTTCCTTAAGTTCACGGGACCCTGAACGGGTTTCCAAGAGGTTTCCAGCTTGCGCCGCAAAGTCGGAACCCATCGGTTCGAACCCATACGGATGGATGGTTTCCTCTGTGAAAACGCACCCTAGAGGGCCCCCTCGGTGGCCAAGACAGCGGTTCTCTGGACGCGGTGCCCTTTGGACACGTCCAGTCACTCCATAGGTGTCCCTGTTCGCCGAGTCTCTCTAGATGGGTTCCACTGGTTTGGACTGGATCGATTTTCCAGGGCCATCCATTCCACAAGGTCACCTATGCCGTCCAATCCCTCCGTCCAATCCCTCTTCCTGCCATCCCTCCACAAGGTCACCTATGCCAAATGCTTCTTCTTTTTTCTCCGATGCCTCCCAATATCTCCGCAAGGAGCCGCGAGACCATGCGACCCAAACTGAGGTGCTCTTTAGCGGACCTCCCCCCAAATGTGGCTGTCCATGCAGCTTGAACACACGAAGGGAACCAATGGGGTGATTGCGCCACGCTTCCCCTGACGTCAATCCCAGCGCGCTTCATTGGGGCCCCACCTCCGTGGCATCTGCTCCAACAAGTCCAAAGCCTTCGCGGCAAAAAAGCAAACGGGCCAGCCATGTATGGCCCACCAAGATGGCAAGCCACCCATCCAATCTGTTGCGCAAGTTTTGGGCGGGAGGGCGAGTAGATCTTGAAATACAACCTTTCCTACGCCAAAGTAAGCACGGATCAACTGGATGGACTTATCAGTCCACGAATTTGCATCTCTACAAAAGCGGCATTTCCCTCAAGGGGGGGATGGGGGGGGGGGGGGTAGGGGATCAGAAGGCTCTCACAAACGACAGAGGTGGCCAAGGTCAGGACGATCTGCCAGTTGCTGCCTGGCAAAAGCACCAGCTTTTGTGTTGACAAGGCAGTTCACCGCAGGGTTCCAGTGGTTGAGAACTTGCCTTCATCCACATGGACGCCTTGACCTGCTGCCTCTGCCACTTCCAAAATCTGATGTGCAACCCGTTTGCGCTCGAAGCCTCACCTCTCCCAAACCCTTACCTGTTTCCCGGTCATGGAATGAACAACAACCTTCCCGAAATCAATAAGATTGTAATCCCTGTTTCAAATCTTCGGAGTTTGCCAGACATGAAGTTGAAAACTCCACATGTGTGTGTGTGTGTGAGCACATGTGTTGTATGTAAATATATAAACATATATTATGCACGTGTGAAATTCCATTTCGATACATATATATATATATTTACGTGCGGGTACATACATACACATGTAAGGGCTACTGAAATTCCATGGCTCTGTCTCAAGTTCCGCGAACCCTCAACTTGCTTTCCTTTTGGTCTCAGCTCAAGAAACAAGACCCAACACGTTAGCCCCGGACGGCTCACATTTGTTCCCCACGTTGATTTGAGGTAGTCCCCTATTCTCGTCTTCCCAAACCAACTTGGCGAATCTTTGGGGCCATACGAAAAAGTACCAAGGTAATCTGAAGAATTTCTTTTACTGTATATAAACAAGAATCAAATTTCTGAACACTGGTTGTACAAAAAACTGCTATTTTCCTCTTTTCAGGAACAGCGACTTGCCTGGTAAACGCGCCGTGTGCAAAAATAACACTAAGTAATGAAAATAACCCATAAGAAGCGTGAAGAAGGTTTCTACTCACATGATTGATGTTGTGTGTATTAGACAGGCGCTTGCAACTTACAACTTACTATGCTTTATAGCACGTGCAACTTATAATTTGTCATTACTTCTGCAGACTGCACTATTTTTGGTTGCACTTGTGACATATAGAAAAAGCCATATCACTACTATTGTTTTTACTAAGCGCTTGTAACTTCCGAAATGCCACTGCCATTTACTTGATACTGTGTCAGAAAACCTGTCACTCAACATTGTAGTTGCATATTAAGGCAGATCCAGCGCAAATGCCGCTGGAGTGCTTTTACCCCCAACTCACACGCCCCTCCGCACATCGCACTTTATGAGTCAACTTAAGCACAACTTAAGCACACAGCTTCAGTGATGCGATGACATGGCCCGCCCTCTGGGCTGCCTGCGCCCATATTGGGCCCTTGCATGTTGCCGTATCATCGCACCCACGAGAGAGGTATACGAATGGCCAAACATGCGCTTGGGTGAAAGCAGGCCATGGGCCCCCGCCATTAGAGCCACGAACCTTCACCGTCGACATTCCTTGCAACTTGCAGTTCGCTCCAGCCTTCAGCCTTCAGCCTGCGCGCGCGCAGCCTTTATCCTGCAGCTTGCAGCCTGCAGTTTGCTCCAGCCTTCAGCCTCCTTGCAGCCTGCGCATGAATGGACGCGTTGGAAGGGCGCTCCTACGCAGCTACAGCCTACAGCAGCAATACTTGGAAAAACATGCCACTCTGTGACAAATATGCAGCCAAAAAGCACCTGTCACTGATTCACCTGCATGAGCAACGTGATTCGATGGTGCCTGCATGCTCAATGCGTGCGCCAATGTGCTTGGGCCTTGTTCTCGCAAATCTGGACGTATTTCACTATGATTGAAAGCACTTGTAACTTATAAGTGTTATTTTGTTGTTTTACTATGATAGCACTGGTGACTTAAAATTCACATTACGTTGACTATGGTTGATAGCACGTGTAACTTCTAAATGGTCATTATTACTTTACTTTGTAGTACTCTTTGATTTGTGTGTCCAAGCACTGAAAAATTGAAAAGGTTAGCAAACCAAAAGCTCGCATGGTTTCTCAAACTGGTGGACCCCTGTTTGGTTAGTTGAAGGGAAACCGTTCAGGAATACCGAGATTCATCCCAAGGATACACAATCTGGGTTGTCTCACAGAAAAGCCCAAACATGCTTGGTTTGACTTTCGGCTTCCTTTTCAGAACCAAAAGCGGAAACCCAAAAAAGGCGACTGAATCCAGTAAAGTTCAGGAGCTTTTATTTGGACGGGTTGGCTTGGGGCTTCCCTATTCTAGGGGTGCCAAACATTGCACGCCGCGACCCACCCGATTTCCTGCGGCGCAGGCTTGCAGCGCCGCAACGAAGCCCCGCACCCCCGGGGATCTCTCCTCGGAATTCGGGAGGTGGATGCCTGAAGCTTGGGAGTGGGCAAAACAAGTGTGGGTCAAGTGGGCAGACCCCAAAACAAAAACGCACGGCGTTGAGTGTCAAGTGGAACATGCGAAAGGTTCTTCCATATTACTTTGCGGGGTGCCACTGAAACCCACCATGTGGGTAATTTGAGGATCGCTTTAATGGGCCCAGTGACCCTGTTAACTATTCAATGTGCGAACCCCTTTGGCTTTCTGGTTCTTCCTATTGGGAAGCCTGTTGGGGTCCCGTGTGGGAAACCCCCAAATGTGAATGTGCTTTGGTTGGAGCTGTCCCAAGTTCTTGGAAACAGATGCTACCGGCTGCTAGCGTAGGCCTCTCACAATTTCAGGGAGGATAAAGTGGTCTTGCGTTTGCGCGCGATCCAAGCCGGCAGAGGAGCTTTCTCAAATGTGGTCTTCCAACACCATCCTGTCAGTGCCCATTATCCCGGGAAGTAGGATACCACTCTGATAGGTTGCGTGATTGCGTGCAACAGGCACACCGAGAACAGGCACGTAGTTTTCCCGAAGTCCGCATTTGTTCACCTCCAATGAATCAGAGTCGCATCCTTGAACCCCTTCAGATGCATGGCTCGAAGCAAGTGCTGATTCGATCACTCCAACAAAGCTAATTCTCAACTCTGGCTTCAACCTTTTGGCCTTTTGGACCGGAATCGGACACCGCCGGCTGAAACCATGCTGGCAGAGCAAGGCTTACCACTCGTGTCCAGCTGCTAAGGCTCGTGCACTGGGTCGCAGGAACTCTGACTCAAAGAGCTGCAATGCCTCTCCAAAAGTTCGGTGCAAAAAAAATGCACTCCCCCAAAAATGGAAGATACCAAAAAAACACTAGAAATGACAAAGCCCACACGGATAAGATTTTGGTTGGGTCCATCCCTCACAAATCTACACTTGGGGACTTTGGGGGTTCTAACAGACCTGAGGTGGCCAATTCAGGATGCATCCGGAAAAAGCGCAGCCAGCTCGCCACAATGTCAGTCCAGCCTCTGCCCAATGAGTGCTGTGTGCCAAGACAGACACTGCCTCAGGTTGCAGAAAAGCAGGCTCAGCAACAAGTGCCCAAATCCATTTGACTTTGATTCTACCAAGATGATTCTGAAGGCTTTACATAGACCAGCTATCACCTCCATTAAGCCAGGAGCGCTGGCTGCTTCTCACGCGGCGCAACTTCCCTTCAACATTGGTCTGTGGCACGGATTCGTCTGTGTTGTGACCTTCTGTTCGCCTCCAAGCTTGCCGAAATCCCTCCCCTGCACCACTTTCGCCACCACCCAGTCAAGGAAAGTATGGAAATAAAGTAATAAGTGTGCTTCTCTCCTGCTGTGTATAGTACCAGCCGTCCTGTTGACAATGCTTTTCTCCACAGCGCCTTTGCTCCTAAAACACAATTGCAGTGAGCAAGTGCAATAATAGCTAGGACAACCTTGATAAGAACCAAAAATGAAGAAGAAGAGGAACAAACCAAGAATGATCACAATAATGAAAACAAACATATATAAGTTTATATAAGCGAAAAGGGACTGCGACAAAGAACATACTCATTTGCTTGGGACTATAACAATAGCCATAGCAATCCTCGCATACAAATGAACACGGAACCCCAAAAAAAGCCAATCCTAAAAATTGCGGTTTTGGGGGGCCGCATGTTAAACTGAAGGGAAGTGATGTTGACCCTGGACTAATCAACTTCCCCCAGTTTGTTAATAGGGGGGCGTTCCCTTTTAGTGGGGAACCGGACCACTTTTAGAGGGAACCAACCCCACGGGTTCCGGGGTCGACATGAATAACATCCTGTCCACTGACATGGTGTCAGTGGCACCCACTAGGGGTCCCTTTTTAAAGGAGACAATAGTCTTCCAGGACCCCTGCGAGGTTCCATGTTTGTGGATGGGAGGGTAACAATTAACAGCAATCAACCACCCGCACTTGGGATGCCGGAGCGCCGCTCCGGCACCCTCCGCAGAGGAGGCCCCTGAGTCCCGCAATCTTTGGAACACGGCGACGGCAGCCTGGCCGAAACGGCCACGTCATCAAAAAAACACGAGCACAACGTGTCTTGATTCACGCAAGGCTCCATCTGTGTGTGTGTATTTGGTTTCCCCAGCTGAAGTGGGGTCGCGGAAACCCCAAAGAAGCTCCGTGACTCCAGCAGCTTTCGGGGGCTCTGGAAGGTTCCGGTTCGGGGCTGTTGATACCACCTGACCCGGAACATCGTCTTGCGGGAAACCCCCCTACCCCCCCACCCCCACCCCACCCCCACCCCCACCCGCACCCACCCCCACCCACCCCCACCCACCCCCACACCCACCACACCCACCACCCATTCATACAAGAAAATCCCCCAGCGAGGCTTATAAGCTTCCTTGCACCTTGCACCAGAAATGATATGATTCGGTGTGATTTGTGAAGAGGCGTCCACAGGTCATTCCATCCTTTTCAAAAAAATATGCAAAAAACAAAAAAAAGCAGTAAGCTTCAGCTGTTTTAGGCTGATCATGGTTCAAGTGCCTTCATGCCGGGGGGGGGGGGGAAAAAACTTGGGCCTGGCCATCGCTCTGGACTTCAAAATAAGCCCAACAATCTCGGGCTTGCAATGCACTGTGTGGCTGCACTCTGCGTGGGAATCACTTGCAGCTTTGCACCGACTGGGAACTGATGTCCAACTTGCCGGGGTCTTATATGATGCTTGCGGAAGAAGAAAAAAACACTCAGCAATGCAAAAGCTCAATTGGGGACCCCATCCAGGAGCCTTGGCTTCTTCAAACATCACGAGCCCCCCCGTTTGGAGACTTTAAACCAAATTCACTTAGCACTTCAGCTCCAAATCCACTGCCTCCCAACGATCTGCTCGTCGGCACGCATCAATGGCAGCAGCCAACAGCGTCTCCTGGAAGCCCCAGTATTCGTTCCCGTTGTGGGTTTAAGGAGGGGTAACTAGGGACACGCCTGATTCATTTCAAAAAGCCAATTCAGGTTGCTTTGGGTTGATTAATCGCGAGAACCGCACCAGTCGCTGTGACCTTTATTCGCATTCACTCCAAAGACCTTGCCGCGGATTCGATTGGAGCGCATGGAATTCTCACAACAAAGCAACACGTTGCGTCTTCCAGTTACCTTTGCACGACTGCGCTTGGAGGCCATGCCAATCTCTCAAAGGGCGAAACGAAGTCCCTATTGTTCACAGACACCCGGGCGCTGACGCAGGCTAAGCAGGCAGCTGGCGCATCGGTCGAAGATGCGCGATCCAGGATCGCCAGTGCCTTCAGGGCAACAAACGGCTCGCTCGTTTCCCGCGTCCAAGTCTCCGATTTTGCCGGCCCCGCCTTGATGTTAACCCCGGAAGAATAAACCGCTGGTTGATTGATAGGGGTGTCCCCTTGTTGTGGGGATTCATCACTTTTGGAGGGAACACCCCCCTCCCCAAGTTTATTGATCCTGGGTCAACATTATTAGGTTCCATGTTGAGAGACGCAGCACTTTGATCAGGTGCTCACCCGCGTCAACAATACTTGTCCGTATTCATTCCGACGCTTCACGCACGTGTTGTTATTTGTTGTTTGACAAAAGACAAATAGAGTACACCGTCATGTTTAAGCTTGACATAACAAACCAACAGCTGCCTGTTGCCGGCAAGACCCAGCAATGCAAAGGGTGGCATTTCAGGACTACCAATATCAGAGTTTCCAGTAACAATCGCACCCCGCAAAGCATCTCTTTAGTTTCCTTTCAATGGCCAAAGAGGGAAGTTTATGTTTATACTGCCAAGACTGCCAAGAAACACAACACGACGACGCCGGGCCGCGCGAACTCGCACTCGGGCGCGAGCTCGCGCCTCCTCCCACTTCTTGCCTTTGCCGCAGGCGCTGATCGCGGCAGACGCCACGTGGCTGCCCACTCCGAGCCTAGATGCGGACGCAGGCGGCCGAGGGAACCCAACGCCTGAGGGTTCCCCCGTTCCTTGAGGGGAGTAAGGAGGTCACCCAAAATCCGAAAACCCGCCACCCCTTTTGGAAAACCAGCCACCACTGGCCGGCGCCTGAGCCGGTCCGCGCGCTGCAGGAGCTGCACGGCGAGCTCCCAACGGCTGCCTGGAGCCGAGTGGACTCCGCGAGTGGACGGCTGGTGGTATTGCGAGCCCTGGTGAATACAAAGCGGAGACGTTCCCCTTTTCGGGCTCAGACCACTGTTGGGTCCCGGACACCCACCTATTCATTCGGACAGGTTCATTAATCTGAGGTCGGCATTATATCCCATTCAACCCCTGCTTGTACAAAACATTCTAGAACCCCGACCGCGAAAGCCTTGTGGATTCCACCTTTTCAATGTTTGCGAAGATTCCATTTGGAGGAAGCATGGATACTGCGCAAGGGAGGTGGTGGGAAATTTGTTGGGTTGCTTTCCAGCGGAAACCGATTGGAAAGCCAGCTTTGGCTCCGCATGCATATGCACGCTCCCTTGAACAAAAGCAGAACACTGTATCTGACAGTGTACAATGTAACCCAGCAACCATCACCTGGCCCTTTCTACACGAATCCTAAAATCAGCAGCCACCTTTCGGATGGTTGCTCAAAGGAAAACACGAGAGGAAAGCATGCACATGGTTTTTGTCTTGCGGCTTTTGGGCTTAGGCTTTGCTGGGCTTGGCTCAAAATAAGGATTCGGACCCCAACAAAAGGTTAGGCTTGCCTCTCGGGTTGCCTTGGAAACTCCCACAAGAATGTTCTTACTCAGAAAGACACACCCATCTGAGCAGAGAGGTGTGGGTTTTTTCACTTGACACCTGGTCTCCGGTATAGCTCTTCTCCCAGCCTCTACTGCAAGCCGAGAGGACCATGGAGTAGGTGATGCCCTGGCTGCCATATCCCCGAAACCTCAAGGATACTTTTTGGGGATGCAATCAGCTGCTGTGATGCCTGATTCTGAAAACAGAATGTGGGAACCATCCCGTTCGACTCCCAGGTGTCTGCTCTTCACTCGAAGACCTGCGCGTTGCATGCCGCACCCTGCGTCGCTTTGACTCGCCTTTCACGGAACTTAGCATGAAACTGGGGGCTCATTCATGTGAACTGAACATAAAGAAAACCGTGGGAGGGTCAAACTGACTGTGACAAGAGTCCAATTCAGAAAGGTCAGCTGACAGCCGATCTGTGGATCCAGCGTCCCACTCGGCCGCACTTTCCATGGCCAAGCACAAGCCCAGCCTCGATGCAGCGAAGAGATTGCCACTACCTTGACTCTGACCACGCAAACGTCGGGGTGCCAAAGGCAAACTTTCTAGCATCCCAAGTTCTTAGAGCCCTTTCGCGACGGGCCTTAGGAATTTGCGGGTAAGCGGGTGATCTGTTGGCACCTAAACGGCTCACAAATATCCCGAGCTCGCTGCTCCCAGTTTGATCCAGCTCGGCAGGTGTTGATGGCTGCGTTCAGTCCTGCGCAAAAAAAGAAAAGGAACTCCACCAAGTGGGATTTGTTCTTCTCTTATGGCCCCAAAATTCCCGGTTCAATTGATTTTTGAGATGGGATGCCCATCGCTACTGCCTTACTTTGAAGAGAATTCCCTTTAATTCCGTGGACCTGCAAGTCCTGAAGCAAAGTGTCACGCCTTGAACGCTCGCATGGGCATGCACCTAGATCCAGTTGTTCTGTAAGCACGAGCTTCACCGCTGAGCGAGGCGTCCTGTGGTGCTGCCAGCGCCCTCAAAGTCCTTCACCAACTCCAGACCCTGCGCCTAGCGGTCACGCAAAAGAGACAGGTGGTCCACTCGGAGATAGGTGTCATGCTCCACTCCGAATCCACTCCGGCCCCAAAAACAAATTACATTCAGTCAAAAGTGGGCTATGACCATCCCTGCCAACCCCAAGTATGAGGGGGTTCGATGGCACATCCGATACCTCGTGCTTTTGCCCAGAAATGGTCGGCTTCGCACAGGAAGAAGCCAACAAGAAGCCAACCTGTACCTCGAACTGCCTCAAACCAAAAGAAGGACTCCTGTTGGATGCACCAGTGGTCTCAAGGAAAAACACAAGCCGATTCGCCCCGTCGCACGCGCGTTCCCTGTGGCCCGAACCCAGAGCTTGCGCCTCGCGGTGTGGGGCAAGCTGAGGGCCGAAATGGCCCTCTGAACCGAGTCTGGAGCTTTCAAGGGTTCCGGTTTCGAACATGGCGCCGCTAGGCAGGGCTCCGCGCTCCACGGTTTCCAGAAGAAGACTCCGGAAGTTGTGGCAGGTTTCAATCATGAGCTGGACGGGACTCTAAACCTTCCCAAAGGTTCTGCATTCTTTGGAAGTCAGGGATACCTGGTGTTCAAGATGGAAAAAGCTCAGAAACCAAGGGGTGCATAGGAAGCCCCCAAGATCCCGCCAACGACCCCGCCTTCTTTGGTAAAAATCCCAGCGCCCGGCCTTGACAAAGCCGCGGCGCAAATCGCGGCCTCCTGACAACCACTCCTTTCATCCACATGGTGCGAACTTGTGGAGGGCCCTTGGGTGGACTTCATGTAGGTGGGGACGGGGATGCATCACTTTTGGCGTGGTTCCCTGAAGGTCATAGCCATATTCATATCCATCCCAGAAAAACATTAATACCCAGTCAAACCGGACACCCCGCCCCCCCCCCCCAACATAGTGGCGCAAAAAAAAAGTTCATGCGCCATGCAGTTGCCACTTAAAACGATCCTGCCCCGTTTCACACACATCAAATGCTTGGAGATTTGCAAAATTGTAAACCCAACACAAGAAGCCTTTGCGACGTGCTTCATTGCAACAAAAAGCCATAAGAGCAACTACGGGCCATTTCGAGAAAGATCCAACTCTTTTTGAGCCCACCAAAGCCGACTGATTGCTTCCTCAATATGGCATCCAACAAATGGGTTGGCTTCGAGGCGCCTTCAGTGTCCAAACCTCCAGTGAGCCTCTTTGGCTCCAATCCCCTTAGGTTTCAACGGCCTCTTTTCGGCCGCCACTCCTCCGCATTTTTGAGAGGGCCGTGCTGCAGCAAACGCTGGACCTAGCGACAATTCACTGAACCACAGCCTTCAGAGTAGTAGGAACCTGACACATCCCTAAGTTGAACTTCCAGCCTTCCCTCTTGCATGGGATGGGGACCCCCTTAAAAAGAAAGACACCCCCAGGTCATGATAAAGTTCTCAAGGTTGCTCGCCATGAAACTGCCATGTGATTTGACGAAAAGGCGCTCGAAACCGGGACACGAAAACAGCCCAGGTGCTGGATGGGCCTCTCACAGGAGTTTCGTGAAATCGAGCTGCATCCGCCTCCATCACACTGTGTCTTATCATTCTTGTTGCGGAGAACAAAATTGGGGCGCCTCCAGGAACTCTGTCTTTGTTGGGACCCCCCACCCCCCTACTAGGCGCCAAAGAGAAACCCTTGAGACGAACCCAAATCTGTTCATCTTAAGGATTGCACAGGCCCGGTCCATCAGCACCCTGGATGTTCCTTGGTTTGCGTTCTTGTTTTGCAACGAAAAACAAAAAAAGCTTACTCTCAAGGCGTGGCCAGTCACAATAGTCTCCAAGTCACCACAAGGAAGCGAAGGCTGGGGATTCAGGAATTGCCAGGATCAAGTAGCCCGCCCTCTTTGTGCAGTCGATCATCCAGCACATGTACTCCAAAAAGAAAGCCCAAAAAAAAACTACGGTTCGCTGTTATCTCGAAAGGGACCCAAAAGGAGGACGGTTTGGGTATGAATCCCATGTCCACGACCCCTCCCCCGACGTCAAACCAACTGAGACCCTCGGGCCGCATTGGCCACTTCGGTGCGGTGCTTTGCCCTGGCTTCAGCTTCGGAGAAGTGCATCGGTTTTGACCTTTAAGCCGAGGGGAAACCAATGAATGTTGACCCCGGCTCTAAGTAGAACACGTCCTGGCCGGGGGTGTTTCCACCAGTCTCAATCCCCACTAAAAGGGGACACACCCTGATCAAGATCCACTCGGAATGGGGGAGCTGCGTTTTCCTTCTTCTTCATCTCCAGTCCCCCGAAAATTGACAGGGCAACCAAAAGGCGTCCCAAATGGCATGTCCTCTTCAAATGCGTGACGTTCATGATTCCATGCTGCTCCGCGGTGTGAAACCGTTTTAAAGGCATTCCCCACAACCACTCAGCTGGGCCTGTCTCGGATGTCTTCTAGCCTCGACTCAGTGCGGGTCTTTGATGGTCGCTTGACGCAAGACTTCAACTCGGCCTGCAACCAACTGGAACATACCCCCGCTCTTCTGAACCAACAACCCAAACCACAAATTGGAAGTAAACCCCGAAACCTCGCGTTTGCGTTGGAACCAACGACGCAATTGCAAAGGCGCCAGCAGGCGTGCTCGGTCAGAAAACCCTCGGCCACTGCAGAGATCCTGAGCCAAACTAGCAAGTCAAGGAATTTGCAACTTCGAACCCAAGCTGAGTGGCTGTTTTCAAAGCGCTGTCCCGCAAACGTTTCCGCGACAACCATCTAATCAATTTGCTCACAAGCACACTGGCCTGCAAACGGCGCAAGGTGCGCCGTTGGTACATGGCACCAACAGGAGATCTTAACCATGGCAGATCGTGCCATGGCAACAAGACTTCTCCAATCGTGGGTCCTGCTGCGGCTGCCACTTGTCTTACTTATGTTTGTTTGCCGGGAAAAATGGGGTTGTTTGGTGAGTAAAACCAACGGCTGGGTATGTTAGGAGACGTGTGATTTTGGGTCAACATGGGGACGGACGGCGCAACATTGAAATGTTTTGACAAAACGGGATTCTTGTCATGCTCTTTCATTTGCATGTCGGATACTTGACGCAGCTTCAAATTTTGCACTCCAGTGCCCGCCCCCTCCCCGCCCTGTGTGGTTGCTTTTGCTTCGCAATTGGCCTATTCACACACTGTGACAGACATTTTCACTCAAGGCCCAATTTGTTTGTCTGATTCCTCTGATTCACCCAGCAAAAAGCGACCTTGCGGACCGCTTCCAAAGGTACATAAGCCACCCATTGGAACAAATCCATCCAACATTGACTATGGGATTCTCCTCGGACTTTCAACTGCCACAGGCTACCGGTTCCTACGGATAAGGCACCCCGGCTTGGGACTCAATTGTGGTAGCGGATCCATTCAAGCTGTCATCCAATGGAGAAGGTGTCAACTCATGGAAGATGCTTACGCGCACAAGGAAGTTCTCGACAACGAATTGCTTCAAAATCCCCACTGAAGGAGTCAACTACTGTAAGAACACGCTGAAGAAGGGTACGACCAACGTGTATGTGTGCAGGTTCCTCAGTTTCTTCAATCAGCGACAACGAAACACGGAGTTCCGCGTCTTCACATCAAAATGTGGCATCCTTCTCAAGACGTTGAAGGCAATACAAGTAGAGTACCAAACTACCCCGCAACCAAAAAACATCCAAGGTCCTTGAAAAGGCATGCTCATCATCATGTCGCCAAACCAAACACAAATGAGAAGAATGTACTCAAAGCAGAAAGCAAACCTTAAATGCAAAGCGCACATCCTGGACAGTAGCAAACCTATCCATGGCATAAAGCAGTCATCATGCATGATCAAAAAGCCAGCCAAAAAGGTAAATGCACCGGCTCGAGCCCACATTTATAAGTGGGAATGCACATCCCAGGCTTTAAAACTCGTTGCGATCAAAACCCGGTATTAAATTGGTCTACCCAGAGCCATGTAAAGAATTTAGAAGGCGGCCGCACGTATTTCTGGTTGGGGTCGTGCCTTACTGACCTTCATCTAGCCGGGTTTTGGTTGTGACTCAGGACGGTGCAACGGTGCTACACTGCCCTCTCATACAGTCACCAGTAACTTAGACGTATCCATCGGCGGCCCAAGCCTAGGCGTGAAGGGAAGTCACCGTACGCTCGAGCCTACCGTTGCCACCATCAGGAGAAAGGCAACCGGTGCATAAGCAGGATTGGTCCAAACTCCTTCAAATCCAATGGTGCAAATGGGCCGTCATGTGGGAGGCGTGCCGCAGCGGCAATGGTCTGGAGCCTTTTCCACAGCGCTACAGTTATTGTGGAAGGGTCTTTGGAATTGTGGCGAGCTTGGTGGTGGTGACCTGCGCGGCACCTTCTTTGGCACATTGAAGGCAAGCAGCAGCCCTCTTCTTCTGGACTGGCAAGGCGGCGGTTGATACTGCTTTTAGCGATCCGGGCACAGCACTCGGGTTTAACGCCTTCTTCGCTGCTTGCTGCAAAAGAAGAGACTCTCTTTTGCAAGTTTTTGCAATAACAACTCCAACAATTCTTGCTGAAAGGCAACTCGTTGGGTCATTGGAATAGCTTGGCCTGCTCCCTTTCAAGTGGTCGAAAATGACTTTTAACTACTTGAAACATGTCGGCGGAGTTTTAGGGTGGGTGAGTGAGTGAGTGAGTGAGTGAGTGAGTGAGTGAGTGAGTGAGTGAGTGAGTGAGTGAGTGAGTGAGTGAGTGAGTGAGGGAGTGAGGGAGTGAGGGAGTGAGGGAGAGAGGGAGAGGGAGTGAGGGAGTGAGGGAGTGAGGGAGTGAGGGAGTGAGGGAGTGAGGGAGTGAGGGGGTGAGGGAGTGAGGGAGTGAGGGAGTGAGGGAGTGAGGGAGTGAGGGAGTGAGGGAGTGAGGGAGTGAGGGAGTGAGGGAGTGAGGGAGTGAGGGAGTGAGGGAGGAAGTGAGGCAGTGAGTCTGCAAAACCTGTCGCCCCTTCCAGCCATGTCGATCTCCCCGCCCGAACTCCGGCATGATGGGCATCTTGAATCCGCTACATCACTTCTCAATCAGTCCGCCCCGTGGTTGCGACGCCCTTGTGTTCTGTGCGGCCAAGGGGACAACAGTGTGCAACATTGGATGTCCTCTTGTGCTTGCCTAGGCCTTGCCGGTTCACTTCTCCTTTGTCGCTCTTGGCGTTTCGCCTTTTGGTTCCCGCAACCTCATTGGCCGCGCAGTCAGGCTGCACGATGCTACGCGCTATATGCTGGGGCCCGGGCTGTCATCCGGCAACGTGGTGGCCTTGTTGCAAAGCAAGGCGACCCACCTGCCCTCGCGCCTGTCGATGTACTCCAGGCTGCTTGCCTTGTTGCTACTTGCTCTCACGAGTTTCTTCCGACTGATGTACGCCGTGGGGCTCGCCCGGAATGGCTCCTTGGGCCTGCTGCGCAACGCAATTGTGTCTGGATCGTGCACCTTGCCTTCGCTGCTGGCTCCCCCCTTCACGCAACTGCACCGCGCCAGCCACATTATGCCTACCAAGGGGACAGGCCGGCTACGTCTGGCTCTCTTGTTGCTGTCCTCCTTGAGCACAGCCATGAGCAGCGGCTTATGCAGAATAATCGCCATGGCACACCCAACATCATACTCGAAGCTCGAGTGTGTGAGTGCGGCCTTGTGCATAGTTACGCGCTGGCCACACAAGTCATACGCCATGGCGATCCCCTTGTCTGTGCACAGTGCCCCTGGCGTTGGACCGCCCTAGTTGCTCACTTCGATGGTAGCTGTCACCGATCGGATTGCACCGGAGGCGCCGGTGTCATTGTAAGAAAACTTTGTGGTGACGACTTCGATGTGCTTGAGCAAACTGCGTACCCGCTTCTTGACTGTCCCGACTCCTACCACGCTGAAGGTTTTGCGAGCGCTTATGCGGTTCAGGCTCTTGCTCGTCATTTTCCCTCGCATACGGATGTGCAGGAGTGTGTTATCATCGGTGACATTTCTTCCATTTTGAATTATTGGCGCCGCACCGCTAGGGTACGACGAACTGTCTTAGTCACGGTGATGCAACAGGCGCAGCTGCTCGCCGCCACGGAACTGCCGCGCATCTCATGGCGGTATGTCCCTCGGGAGGCCAACTAGAAGTGCCCCTGCACCAACAGCAACTGCCATTTCGGCACAGGATCAGAAGCTGCAGAAGTTGCAAGAGCAACTGGATGGTATCGCTGGTAGGTTGCAAGTGCATGAACAGAAGACCACGCAGGAGGTTGGACAGTTGAGGACGGAGATCAAGGACTCGCGCTGTCATTGGGAGACTACATTGCAGGGAGCATTACAGAAGCAGTCTGACCAGCTCATGGAAGCAATGCAGGCGCTCCTCGCACCGCAACAGTCGCAGTCACAGAGTCACAAATCGAAAAATCCCACTGACGGCAGATCGAGGAGTCGCTGATCATTTTGGGTTGCCTTTTTATTCTGGTGCCCTATTTAGGTGTGGCATCTGCATCTTTCGACGCTCAGAGTGCAGCTTTATCCGGGGGTGAGGATCAGGCTGTACGTACTCTTTTGGGCACAATCAATGCTACGCGATTGCACAATTATAGAGATGAGGTTCTCAGCCTGCCGACAGGCTGTTGGGCTTTCACTGAAACTTCAAGCGTTGCAGGAGAGATTGCAGGGGATGGCAGGTTTTTTCGGCAACGTGGCCTCAATTACATTGCCAGCAAGGAACGCTTGCCGCGCACCAGGTATGCAAAAAACTTGGTGCATGCACCCACATATGGAGGGACGGCGGTGGTATCTTCACACCATGCCCGGATGGATCGTTTCAAGTACCCACGGGATGTTGTGAACGCAACTAGGTTGCTGTCTACCTTCTTGCATCTGGGGACCCTCCAGGTACTAGTGATCACGCTGTATTTGCCCCCGATGAGGCATGATGATAGATTCATCAACCAGGATAAACGAGAAGTGAGGAACCACCTTTTCACACAGGCCACCCATCGTGCTTTTGAGTGGGGAGGACCTGCGGTAATCCTGGGTGACTTCAATGCGGATTACCATGACATGAAGAGCTGGGGAGAACTTGCCCTTATGGGGTGGACGGAGGTAGGAGACATCCATCTTGCAAAGACTGGAGAAGCGCTGCCGGCCACCTACCAAAATGAGGTGAGACACGACTATGTTCTTCTATGCCCGTTTATGGCATCCCGACATGATCATTCATGGGTCCTCCGATGCAAGTTTCCAACTTGTTGCCAAGCAAAGCTGTCACCTGGCACGGTTGCAACATTGCAAATCAACCAAAGTCAACACTGCAAGCCTTGCAAAGGCTGCCCAGCTACACCAATCTGCACAGGGTTCCAACTGCAGGTCTTGATTGCAAAACAGATCTGGCCACTGCAAGCTGTTGCAAATCTGCAGCCCCTGCCAACCTGACCATGCTCCAACACTGCACTGTCAAGCAAACCCAACACTTTAAACCCCTAAACCCCTGCTGCACAGACACTGCAAGTTTCCAACTTGTTGCCAAGCAAATCTGTAGCACTGGTCAAACCACCCCAACTCACTGGCGCCAGAGGCTGCCCAGCTACCCCAATCTGCACAGCTGCCGACCTGACCATGCTCCAACACTGCACTGTCACGCAAATCCAACACTTTAAACTTGCCAACCTGCCCATGCTGCACTGACACCTCAAGTTTCCAACTTGTTGCCAGGCAAAGCTGTCACCTGGCAAGGTTGCAACATTGCAAATCTGCCAAGCCTTGGGGTTGAAAGCAACCAAGAGCACGGGTCAAACACCCCAACTCACTTGCCAAAGGCTGCCCAGCCACACCAG